CTAAACTGAAAAGTTCCTAAATACAATCTAAGGGAAGATTGAAAAAGGGTGATTAATACTGCCACTCTGCCAGGTTGACATATCATCAAATAATACACCTTTAGTCCTTTAGTCAATATGTAAAGACGAAGAAATCAATAAAAACAACAAAGAAATTTTTGAAAATTGGAATACTTTTTCACATACCATACTTTTAAAACATGTTCCATTAGATCTATTTGCCCCAAGTTGATTATGAAATATCACATTCAAATGTATGTTATTAAATAACTAAGCCAAAAGTTAAGAAATCAACCTTTTCCATAATATCTCCAAAAGTTACACTCTTGCAATATCATCTCCAACATTTACACACTTGCGATATCACCTAGGGTCTCCCTTGTTGACCATAAACTAAGATTGACTGGCCTGCAAACAAATATTAATTCTTGATGCTAAAGAATAAGCTAACACATATTATGCAAAATAAATAACAAATATATACTCCATTGGTAAGCTGGTGATTCAAGCTTCTAAGGGAAAATAGCTTACAAATGCAGTTATTTTATCATAGCCGCTAAGGGATTCTATGTGCCAACGTGTATTAGAAATTCTGCAAACACATAACATACACTTTGGTTTGGTTGAGATGAGTAACATTTTAGTAATCTAAAAAGACAACAGTGAAGCAAAACTCAAAAAAATTACAAAAAAAACTATTCTTGACATTCCTGGGGCACGTACCCTTTGTACATTCTTTGTGAAAGTGTGCAGTTTGTCCAAACAAATAGACTATTGTAGCCAACTCTTAAATAGGTGGTGCCTGATTGGCTTGAGGAGAGTGTAATTGAAGAGACCTCATGCTGACATATCTATATTTTACACCCCGTACAATGTTGTGTGGGAACAACATCAATATGAGATTATGATGTAAACAGGTTTATAAGCTAAAAAAAGAAGAAAAAAAGCTAGCTAATCAGGTTTACTTACAACCAAAGTACTTCTACCCCTGTCAAAATCTAATAAATCAGAATGGATGCTCTAAAAAATAAAAACTCCAAAGTAATGTCTACATCAATATAGTTAGAACTTAGAAGTATATGCTAGGAAGAAGAGGACGAACGAATAAATCCCCTAAAAAAGATTCCTAGAATAAAATTTATCATATCTGATTATTAGAGCAATCAACTATTTGCTTAAGTCTAAAAAACTTCTGGAATAAAGTCTCATATTCTTCATGAGGCAATCTTTCCTGGCATGCTTTGCCACCAATTTTATATATTTATGGTGGGGTTTTATTAGGCATAGAACTTGGAAATGCCAGAATAACTATTTGCTTATCAGTGGAGAAAATAAAATAATTCATCATAGATCTTAATCTAACATAGATCTTAGAAAATAACTGTTGCTTCATCTAAACAGACCCTTGGGAGTCTGGGACATCGAAAGTGCCGATTACATATACATGAATATAAATATAAAAAAGTAGGAATGCAGTATATAGTAGTAAAAGATTAGGAAAATTGAAAATCAACAAAATTCAAATCTTTAATCAAACATATAACCTAGAAGATGGTGGTTACGTACGTAAAGCCTCTAATTTGGAGCTCATATAGTCATATACTACGTACAAAGCTAGAAGATGATTATTAAACATATTTTGTGAAAATAATATAATTACGTAAAGCCTTTAAAAGTGCATATCAAACCTTCTTGTGACGTGCTCTGTACCTAACCAAGTGCCTCTTGATTCTCGAGTTATCAGATTGAAATAGTTCTTGTCGTTCCTACCAAAAAGTACACAGTTGATTGACTGGGAGAGATGGATGATGAAATATTGAGATTAACTGAATAAGAATTGCAGCAGAAGAGGCGATGGAGTCTGGAGAAGGCATAATTTGTCATGGGATGAAGCGATCGATTACAGGCGAATGGAGGATGAGAAATAGAGGAAGAGATGAGAACCTAAAACTGTGTATGTGAAGGACAGTGGATGTGTATCTTGATTGAACGGCAGATGAATAGATAAGATGAAGCCTGGGCCGGAGAAATTGAGGAGGCCGGCGAGAGGAATAGATAGATGAATCAAACCGGAGAAATTGCGGAGGTGAGAGGAATTTCCGGAAATGGATGAAGCTTTGCGGGAGAAATTGAAGGCCAGAGGTGATTTGGGACATGGATGAGAGGCCAGAAAAGTGGAGTCTGGAGAAGATGGAAGGATGGAATGAGAATGAGAGAAACGAACATACGATGTAAATTTTAAGAAGCGAACGGTGCAGATGTTGAACGTGAATGGGCGGGAGAAAATTGCATTGCTTTTATGTATACATTCCCTAAATCAATTAGACACTTGTACCAAATAATCACCCATAATGTGAGGTTATTTTTGATAATTTTCCTTAAAAGATTTAAATACTTGGTTATTATTATGCATTGAATGTATAAACTACACACAACATAATGAACATATCCCAAGAGAGGTTGAAAAAGTGAACAACATTTTCACTTGAACTTAGTTTGACTCTCGGGGCCAACGCTTAAATATGATGGACTAAGGCAATAGTACATGGACATATATTATATCTTAAAAAGATAAAACAAGATCTTAAATTTACACTTGTACTAAAGCAGAGCATAAAATTGGAGTACAATTAAAACATACTAAGGATGTTTTCTTTTGGACTGTTTTCAGCCCCATACCACATCAGACCAGACCAAACCAGACCAGACCAGATCAGATCAGACTAGACCGGACTTGACTTCCGTAGTTATAAAATAAACATACACCAGATGTTTACTAGACCAGATCAGACTAGTTCAGACTAGACCAGACCAGATCAGACCATCAAATTTCAGTCCAAAAGAACATCCTAAACTGTGAATGCAATTCTTTCTTAAACGTGAAATTTAATGGCTCTTTCATTCAAAACAATTATTGGTTTATTTTTTTTACTTTCCAAATAAATTTGTCATTCGCATCTAAAGAGAGAAACTATGTAATCATATTGTTTATATTGGTCCAATACTTGTGTTTGTCAAGTTGAGTAAGTTTTGAGGGTTAAAGAGGGCAAAAATTTTAAAGAGGCCGTGACGGGCTCATTAACAAGCACGTTAATCTCACACTCGGTCAAAAAAATACAGAATATGTTAATAAAAAGTAAAAAAACGGTGGAGTCTTCCGTGAAATCATCTAAGCTAACATATACGGTATAGCAAATAGCAAATGTAGATTACACGTGTTACTGAATAAATGTAGATTACATTGTGTTCTAAAATTGTATGAACAGAACTTTCAAAAGAAATTTATGGATGAAATTTAAACTTACAAATTAATTGCTTAAAATATTAAAAAGGGTTTTTACTTAAATAATACTGTACTACTTCCGTCCCACTAACATTGAGACGAAAGGATGTGACACTATTATTAAAGATAGTGAAGTTATGTGGTTTATATTGCATTGATAAAGTAAGAATAAGGTAAGAATGATTTAGAGTCATACAACTTTACCAAATTTGGTATGAGACAATTATATTGGGATTTCCCGAAAAGATAAAATGCGACAATCTTAGTGGGATGGAGGGAGTATTAACAAAAATGTCCCGAAAAATTATATGCAATTATAAATAATACTACGTACATATGTCCCGGAAAAATTCGTCATATTGACTTTTATTGGTCAATGATAAAAAACTTTAGACAATGATTTTAACTATTATATGTGAATATAATTTATAGATTTTATATTTTTATGAAAATAATTTGAATAAGGAACATTTTGATATAATTTTCATATTCAAAATAATTTCGTATTAAGAAATATCGTTAGTCAAAGTTGATTGTCGTTGATCAAGAAAAGTCCATTAGACGAACCTTTTCGGGACGAAGAAAGTAGTTATTTAGTACCTACTTCGTTCCACTAACATTGGGACGTGTGAATGTGGTGCAATTACTAAGAAACGTAAGTTTATGTGGTTGATATTGAATTGATAAAGTAAGAATAATGTAAGAATAATTTAGAATCACACACAACATACCAAATTTGGTATGAGAAAAAATCTCAGTGGGACAGGCCAAAAAGGAAAGATAAGACAATCTTAACGGGACGGGGATTAATATTTTTATCCATCATATTTAAAAGAGTAATATTAATGCAATTTTTTCTATTAAATGTTCAAATACGTCTCATCCATTCTCGATTTGTTCGCGGTTGGTACAAAAATATCGATTCGGTTCCGTTACGGTCCGTACTGACTGGTTCAGTACAATGTCTTTTCCGCTTTTTGCTCATCCTTAAATTTTACAACATGTAGAATGGCTAAAAAAGATAATACATCTATTCCATTATATTAGGTGTAAATTCGGTTTTTCGATTCGATTATGACCTAAAACCAAATACGGAACTAAAGTAAAATTCTGTTCGATTTTGCATTTAAAAATTGGAAACCATTGTTTGATTGGTGTGGTTTCATTTTTTCGGTTTTTTTGTACTAGAAAATAAAAATTTTCTAGTACGCCGCCGCCGACGGCCACCGCCGTCATCTTATTTAATTAAAGGGATACAATAATTGAGGGTCAATAATTTAGGGTGGTTTCATCTTATTTAATTAAAGGGATACAATAATTGAGGGTCAAACATATTACTTAAAAAAAATGCAAGCATACTAGAATAAATAAAATTTAAAAGTTATGTAATAATTATGTCTTGTACTACCAATATTGAGTATATGGGGAGAGCATATACAAAATACATCACCGTCATGCAACAAACTACTCCATACAAAATAATAGATTAATATAGTACGTAATATTTTTGTCATGATATTTTTATCAATAATATGTAAGAAAAAACTCTTAATATTTTTAGCAATTAATTTGCAAGTTTAAATTTCATCCATAAATAGTTTTTTGAAGGAAATTTTATGGGGTTTTTACTTGAAAATTAATAATTTTGAACCAATTATAAAAAAAATCGACCACTTTTAAAAAGGGGCAAAAAAGTGATCAAGAAGGTCATATATGTGGAATTAGAAACATGATGTCACTGTAAAAATTTTATGTCACTGTGTTCGTTTTTTTTGTAACTAAGAATCGTCATCTTCAAATTTTTCCGCGCCAATGACATCGCCACTGTCATAGTGACACCGCCATAGTGACGCCGTCTTTTTCATGTCACTGTCCATTATTCATGTCACTGCCGAGTGTCACTGTCGATATTTAATTTTGGATGTCACTCCACCGCCGCCCGTGTCACTACCACTGCCGTCCCGTGTCACTGCCGCCGCCGGCCACAGTGACACCTCTGTAGTGACAACGCCACATTGACATTTATGTAGTGATATATGGCCCAACCTGTGACTACAGTGACATCTCAGTAATCCAGCCACCGCCGCCGACGGCCACCGCCCTCCGGTCAGTTACCGCCGCCTCCCCGCATGACCACGACTCCCCAGTCCATGTCCGACCACCACTACCCCACCCCCACACACTGCTTGTGTCCCCTTCCCATTCACTCGCCCTCCCGTATCCCCTCCCCTGCGGCTGCCACAAAGCAGCCCCTCCCAGCCTTTGCAGCAGCTGCACCTTACTCAGGTAACCCAGGACTGCCACTGCCCCACCTCCCGAACCCCACACACAGTGTTTGCTCCACCCCTGCTCCACCATAACTCAATTAAGGCCCAACCAGTCTAGTAACTTTCCCACAAATCCTAACAATTGTCCCCAACAATAACAACACGAAGATGCCATTATCTCATTCCCTTTGTAAGTCTTCCAAAATCGGCATCCATCTTCGCCCCTAACCTGTCCTCCACCGCAAGCAGTATCAATAGCAAACCCAACCTCCTAGTTTAAGATTTTGATTTTTAAGCATAACCTAATTTCTAAGAACCTCATTCCAAAAATCAATCGAACGCAAAAGTAATGCATCTGGGCGACCGAGGCGGTGCGTTGGGCGACTGCGGAGTTGCGATGGCTGACGGCTGATGTTCAGTGGGCGAGGGCGACTAAGGAGATGCGAAGAAGAAAGATTGATTTTTCACGTCTGGGAGAAGACGGGAGGAGATGTGGAGAAGAAAGATCGATTTTCACGCGAGGGAGAAGAGGGACGGAGCTGGGTCACTTTACTGGGAAAACGTAAAATGGTCATATTTTTTGAATTAGAAACTTAGGGAGTAATATTAGTGCCATTATTTCAAATTTTATTCATACAATTTTGAAAAACAATGCAGCAAGCCAGTAACACGTGTCATATGTGTTAGCTTAGATGATTTTGGAATTTTGAGATATCAATGAAGGCCTGTATTTTCATATGTGTTAGCTTAGGGTACACATTTTCATACACACATACACACTCATATTTGTGAAGAGTATTTTTTTGTCTGTATACAGACATAACACATTTTCAAATACGTTATGTCTGTACACAGACAAAAAAATACTCTTCAGAAACATGAGTGTGTAGGTGTGTGTATGAAAAATGTGTACCAATAGATTTTTTGATATTTTTTAGGCGTGTGTGAGACTAAGGTGCTCCTTAATGAGCCCGTCACGGACTCTTTACAATTTCTGGAAAAGAGGGAGTGTATTTAATAATTTGACTCCTAATTGTCAGAAATTGTGTGTCCCATTTTTTGGATTTTAAATCTGCGTATATGCCATTTTTCTCATTGGGTCGATAGTCGATTAAAAATTTGACACCAAACTGATATACTTAGTCTGTTTGCAACAGTTTCTGTTTTTAAAAAAGTACTTTTTTTAATGAAATGAGGAGAAGTGATTAAATAAAAGTTGATATTGTTTGAAAAAAAGTGATTTTGAAAAATAAAAGTTAGTAATGTTTAGTAAAATAAGTGTTTTTTGTGTAATAGAAAAAGTATAAGTACTTTTGACACGAAAGTCGAGAAAAATAAAAGTTATAGAGCCCGTTTGGTAGCACCAAAATCGGCTGTTTTGGCTGATTCTGCTGAAATTTATGATATTCTGGCTGGAGTGGCTGTTTTGGCTGATTCTGCTGATTTAAGAAAAAAATATTTTAAAAATATATTTTATTAATAAATTAAAGAAAAAATTATATGTAAAAATAGCTAAAATGGTCCTCTACAGTAACTTCAGCCAATACAGCCAGAAAAGTAACTCCAACCTTACTTTTTCGGCTTATTACACAATTCAGCGCGCGAAAGTAAAAGTTACGTGAAAAAGCTGGCTGATAAGCCTGATAAGCCGAAAACAGAGTTCTCCAAACGGGTTCATAGTGTTTGGTACTAGGGGTATTTTTTTGAAAACCAAAAGGTAAGAAGTGTTTTTTTTAAAGCGTTTGCAAACCAACAATTAGAGTCTTAAATAGGTCATTGGAAGAATCAGTTTCAATTTTGCCTCTTTAAAGTCAGAACAAGACTTTAATTTAATTTAATTGCCTATAGTTAAAAATTAGACTTTTTTCACGTCAAACGTTATACAACACCGGTCAAGTTATGTGTGACATGCTTGATTAAAAAATTAATGTTTTGGTGAGGCCTTTGAACTTGTAACCTTTTCACTCACTCATTCTCTTACATCATCCACAATGTTAATGACATTTGACCCTATTTTCTCTATTCTACGTCATTTTCCTCCAAAAATTTAATCCCCCAACTTATCTCATCCTCCACTATAGTGATCTAGGTCACTTTTATTAATTTTTACACTTTCTACTCCTTATTTTTTGATACATTCCACCATTATTAATTTATTTGATTTGAAAAAGGAGTACTCCTTATAAAATTCACATTTGACCCACTCTAATTATTTACTGTAAAAAAATAAAAATAAGCGTATTTTAAAAAAAATGTTACAATCCTTAATTCGGAGGAAAAAAATGTTCTAAAACAGATAAAATAAGATTCAAGAAGGAAAAAAATGATAAATCTTGAAGTAACTAAATATATCCTTCATTGGTGTCTATGTGTAGAGAAAAAAGATCTAATTTTTTGATATAATTTTTTTATAAATTAAATTTAATGCATAATAAAGGAAATTAGGGAGTTGGGGATAGTTGTTGCCTGTTGGAGACTTGGAGTTAGTTCAAAGTAAAATGACACTTGACTTTCTCTAATTGGATAGTCACAAATAAGTTGTTAGCTTCCATTCTTAACCTTCCCTTTTGATCAATCATTTTGTGACCTCCCATAGTTGGGATCAAGTGAGATCCGTTTTTTTATCCCAATGAACTCCCCATGGTGGATGCTCTTAGGCCTCTTACACCACAAAATCAATCATTCTTATAAGAGCATCCACAATGGTGGTGGGTTTTGATCCCCTCCTCTCTCTTCCACATCACTTCCCTCCAAAAACTTAATCCTCTTTAACCTATCATACTTTCACTCCACTATGGTGACCTAGGTCACTTAAAATTTGTACATTCTCTCTCCATATTTTTGGTATATTTCACCATTATTAATTTATTTAATTTGAAAAAGGAATATAAAATCCACATTTGACCCACTATCATTATTTATTGTTGTCATTGCATCTAGGTAGAGAACTGGTTGGATCCATTTTCAGAGGAAAAAATGTTTTAAAACAGATAAAATAAGATGCAAGAGAGAAACAAGTGGTAAATTTCGAAATGACTAAACACATCCTTCATTGATGTCTATTTATAAAGGAAAAATAACTAATTTTGTGGTATAATTTTTTTTCACAATAAATTAAATTTAATGAATAATAAATGAAATTAGTGAGTTAGGGGATATTTGATGAGGTTGGTGGGTACCTTTTCCATTTGGCTTTCTATCATTGGTTAGTCAAGAAAAACTTGGCAGATCCCATTTTCAATCCTCCAATTTGATCGGATCAATGCTTTAGCTACCATAGTGGGGGTCAACTCCCATCAAGTTGTTTTTTTGATCCCCATTGACCACCCATAGTGGGTGCTCTAAGTAGCATCACATTTTTTGCAACTAAGAATTCTAACTATTATGAAAAAATGTAAAATGTACTATGTTTCGACATTAATAGAATTTAATATGTGAATGCATGAGAGAGTAAATATAAAACTTGCCTTCATGAGACTATTAACTGAATTCACGAGCAATTTAGATTTGTCACGCTCCACTGAATCTTGTATTCTATCACTTTAATGAAAGTAACAAATAAATTTCAAACCCCAAACAATCCCTTCAATTTTGAGGCTGTGATTTTGAAGGGGGGCAAACAAGTGATATCTCAATAGGGAAGATGAACATGATACTTTTTTATAAAATAAATACTCTGTATTAGACTATCCGCAACCTTATTTCGTCAATAAATTAAATTCTCAATCAATTTGTACCAAAAAGGTGTATTCAGTCTGTTAATCCCAATTTTCCATACAATCCAACATCATCAATATATTCATCAATCATTTTTTAAAGAAATTATATATACATTATTGGAGTCATATGAAAGGAAAAATTAAGTTATGAATTTTCATTTCTTTTATATAAAAATTAGAATACAAATATAAAAGTTATAGAAGTTTAAAAAAATAAAGATGTTTTTTAGCATGAGCCCTCCTCTCCTCATTTTGTTGGTTGCACACTTCTCCTAGCACTTTTTCTTTTTTGGTTTGACTATTTAATATAGACTGTAAGACACTTTTTAAAAATATTTCGCATTGTACCATGTAAAGTATTTTATGTGAGGGAGGGTAGTAAAGTACTTTGCATGCTTTTTATGAAGCACTGCAACGACTTTGCGTGCAATTTAAAAATAAATTACACATCTAGCCAAATAATGTAATCTATCTTACATGTAAAATGATTGCTTCCCTATACTTTGTATGCAATCCCTTCGTGTACAAAGATTTAATGTGAAAACTATCAAACGAGCGTTGCAAACTTCCAACAGATCTTATCATAAACAACGATCTCTTCTCCATGTCAATCCAACCTCGAAGAAAACACTGCACAAAAACCGTAGGCACTTTGGCCTTGTTTTGCCGCCGAGTAAACCTAGCCAGAAACTCTTGTATTCTTTTCTTTTAACCAATTAATTAATAAATTTACGGTCCTCTTTCAAAAAAAAATTACGGTCCTTTAATTTCTCCTTTTGACTCCCATCAAGGCATTCAACCAATGGCCGGCCCGGGCCAAGTGTACCCAACCCGGTCGCAGGGCCCAAAAATTTGGAAGGCCCAACATTTTACTAGTAGTAGTCGTCTGACAGCCCAGGTCCGAGGGTTTGAAGGAAACTTACGGAATATACAGGGAGAGAAAGTGCCAACGCCAGCCCACCACGACCACGACTGCACCTTCCGCACGCCCCTAGTCGGCTAGTCGCTGGGAAGCACACAACAGTAATAGCTAACTGAGCTAAGCACATGTGAACGTTTATGTATGATTTGATTTCTATGAATGGAAAATATCTACTTGCCTTTTGCTCCTGTCGTAATTTATTAATCAGTTTATTTATTGCCGTTTTGCTTAAGTAATTGAACTAGTGTTTTACCCGGACGTTGCCCCGGGCGGAGGTTGTGAAAGTTTGAATACTTTGTAAGATATATATTTTATAGAATATATAAATAATTAATAATTTTACTTAAAATAAAATTTTGTTGATTGTGAATAGTAATTTAATTAAAGAGAATCTATATTAAAAAGTGACATTTTAATGTAACATCACGCATACCAAACATCGCATTGTTAGGTTTAAATTGGAAAACCTCTTTATAAATGACATTCACCATCTTGGTGAAGAAATTTGTTTCTTTTGAACATATGAATATCTTAAGATATTTTTACTCATTACTCTTGGTATTGCAATGTACATTTGGTCATTAATGAAACTTCTCTCTCAAGGTATAAATCAAATTTTATGTAATAACGTTTAGCCTTGACTTATATATATTGATTGTCATTGCAAAGCTCACCATCACAAGAAATTACTTTATTCAAAAATTGAATAAAGTTGTCATATCATGATAATGAGATTTTCAATATGTGAACTTTATCTTTCATAACTTTTCGAATTATGACTTGTCATACTTGTTTTTCCAATCTAGTTATGACCAATCACATTCTATTGAATAAAACTTGTGCATGATTAATATTCCCCAATAACATTATCGGGGATTCCGATTTTCTAACCAAGGATATGGTTGGGCAATCCAATCATTGAAGCGCTATTAAGATATTCAACACTGTAACCAAGACATGTAACTAAGATATGCAACTGCTAGGCCATCAATCCACGATAGCATGTAGTTACTCATGATGTTTCTTGGTGTGGCGTCTAAAATCTCAGAACACGCCTCATATATCAGTATATCTGCATCCCATATAATCAAAGATGCAACATACAACAATTTTGTCTCCACACTTCCTTGATGCATATTGTAGGCAGTGCGACAATATTTATGGGAATAGAAAAATCAAGTGATGAGTTAAAATTAGCTTCAATAGTAGAAGACGTGGATGAAGTTTATATTTAATATATATATGACTAATAATAATTACTTGCATTGTGCATTTTCTACAAAATTTCAGACCTCAACATGCTCTTGTGATTCCATTTGTTGGAATAAAATGATACAAAATCAATATATACTAAAACATGTTGATTTTTACACTAATCACATGTCTTACTTTAGACATTTTTGAAAAATATAGTTCAATTCGTCCCGATTTAAATGTCTAAAATTCTCATTTTTTTTACTTACATCAAATTATATATATTAATAATCAAAGTAGTGTGTTGGCAAACATGAAAACGAAAGTGTTGTAACTAAAAAAGAACGGAGAAAATATATAAAAGAGAAACCTTTCGGGAGCATACAGTTGGCCATGTTATTATTATATACTTCTAACTAAGCCAATTATTTTTTAAGATGTAATATAAAATACTAATCCAGTAATTTTATGAAGAATATAAAAATATAGATAAATATGACTTACATTTATTTAGGAGAATCACATAATGTGTAGGTACTCACAATTTATTTACTCTTTCCGTCCTGAAAAGGTTCGTCAAGTTGACTTTTTTTTATCAATGACAATCAACTTTGATCAATGATATTTTTTTAATACGAAAGTATTTAGAATATGAAAATCATATCAAAATGTCCCCTATTCAAATAATTTTGACAAAAGCATAATTATATGATATTATACAATTATAATAATTAAAAACATTGTCCCAAGTTTGTCATCATTGACCAAGAATAGTCAATATGACGAACCTTTTCGGGACGGATGTATACTATATTATACCTTTTTAGTATTATTTTAATTTGCAAATCTCAATTCGTATTTTAAATTTTTCTCCTATTTTATGTGTGATTTGGAAGGTAGTTTTATTTGTAAATAAAAAATGTAAAATTTTAAAATAAATGAGAAAATTACATCAATTTGTTTATACTACCTCCATCCCAAAATAAATGAGAAACTATCGTTTTAAGTGAATATCTTATAAGGAAAACTAATCATTATACTCTTATCACTAAATACTAAATAAATATAAAACTTTTTTTGAAAATTCAATATATTCGTTTATACTACCTCCATCCCAAAATTATTAGCCGTTTCCAAAACTTTGACAAATAATATATATATTTATTAGAAATTATTTATAATATTAGAATGATATAAAAATGTTCTTTGTCAAAAGTACTTTCATAAAAGTATAAAATTTATAACTTTCACAATATTATACTAATTAAAACCATGGTCCAAATTTTGACATTTGGCTAAACATTTTGGGTCGGAGGTAGTGTGTGTTTTTTATTAAAAAAACCATTATTATTAAAAGAAACTTAGTATTGTACAATAGAAAAATTATATTGTTCATATGAATAACACTGTGCAAATATGAAGTAAAATTAGTTAAATTACTTTGTCAAGAAAAGTTATACAAAGTTTATTATATTTAAATAAATGGTTCTCATATATTATTGGTCCTCCGTGCATCGCACGAACTTGACATATAGTATTAGTATATAAAGTATTAGAACAAATTATATAAAATATTTCAAAATATCGAATGAAAGTTATACAAATTATGCGTGATTTTCTATAACCCATTTGATAAAGCATTATAAAATATGGAATGAAATCCAATATTATAAAACATCCCAAATATGCATATGCTCTCTAAATGGAATGATTATATTATTGGTAGTTTGTTTGGAAATTGATGCTCCATAATATAGTAATATTCCAACCAGGACATCCTGACCGAAACTGCCGTCTGGCGGCCACGATTTGAGGCAGTTCAGTCGTTTTTTCTTGATGAATTTTTGTGAGCATATTCTATATGAAGTTTAGATTATATACAAACTTTTAACTTAACATTTGATCAGGTAAACAATTTTAAAAATTATTGAAAAACAATTCGCCAAAATATTTATATATAAAATATACGTAGTAGTATTTTCAATAATTTGTTTAACTGACTTCTCAATCAAATTTTAAGGTGAAATTTCGTGGACATAATTAATTCAAACCTCATGAAGAACATGCTCCAAAAAAAGTCAATAAAAACACCTAGAACAACCTCAAATCGCGGCAGCTAGACGGTTGTTCTCCTCCGGAATTCCAGTGGTGAACTTTTCTCCTCCGTAATATATATAAATACTATGAATTCAGGACTCAATTGCAATTAATTTAATGAATATTCAATTCACTATTTGGACTAAATACTTATCAATTGAGTAAATACTATGAATTTAGGACATAATTGCAATTAATAAATATTCATTAATTGGAGTCAATAGCAATTAATTGAAAATGCAATTTCAATTAGAAGGTTGTACTTTATTATTAAGTAAGTAGATTGAATCGGTTAAGATTTTTTTTGAAAGGAGAATCAGTTAAGATTTAAGAAATTGATAGTATGTCATTAGGTAACTCGGTAACTACTAAGTACTAACTTTAGGTTAATAAATAAATAAATAAATTATAATTATTTCATGATTTCATCCAATATTTAATTTTTTTATCGTCACCCAATATTTAAATTGAATTTTAACTTACATTTTTTAAACATGTATATGACTAGGTGATTTTTTTGGTAATAATAATGTTTCCCAAGAAATACTCCGTACTTCAAAAGATTGACTTTAGAGCAACTCCAATGTAAGGGTATGGTGGTCTCTTACGCATGAGTCCCATTTTTATCTCACAATTTTTATGTTTAGGACTCACGTATTTTCTAATTTATTTTCATTTTCATTTTTTATATCACTTTTAACCCATTTTTCATAACTTTTTCTTCTCGAATCCCTTGTCATAGACCATGGTCCATTTTTTTTTTCTATCTCTCTTCTCTTTTTCATTTTTCCCTACATACCACTTCATTCAAATATTTATTCTATCTCTTTGTCTCTCTTATGCCACATCACTGCAATGCACCCTCCCAGAGATGCTCTTACAAGTCTTACAAGTTTGGTGAATGATTTTTGCATCTAAATACGGTATAAGAATGTCTCTTTTTATTCATCACTACTAGGCATGAAGCCGGGGCGGGTCGGGCCCGGGGCGGGCCTAGGCCTGGTCGGGCCTTTTGTGTTTGGGGGAAGGCCCGAGATCGGCCCAGGTTGACGCCGGGCCGGGCCGGGCCTCGGGCCAGTTTGTAATTTTTTCCCCCTTTTTCTAATTAAACCCTTGACCCCCCACCCCCAAACCACTCCAAATGGCCCAAAATACACAGGCGGTTAAAAAAAATTGATAAAAAAATAATAATAAAGCCCGAACTAGCGGGCCGGGCCTACTCGAACCAGACTGTAGCAGGTCACCGGGCTGGGCGGGGCCCAAACAGTACCGGCCCCGGGCCGGTTCCGGGCCGGGCGGCCCGACCCGAGTCCAAGACTAATCATTACTTTTATTTTTATTATTATATTATTATATTATATCCATTAGCCACTTGCATTTTAACACAAATTTTTCTGTTGCACGGGGTTCTCAAATTCTCAGGACCGGCCCCTGGCATTCATCCATTATATTTCAGCCCCCGCTTGAAACATAGCAAAGTTACGGGGAGGGGTGTCCAAAAGAGCCGATGGTTATTTGATCCCTTCTAGGGTTTACCGTTGAAGAAAGCTTGAGAGCCAAGACGCGATTTAGAAGAGTGAAAAACTGTTCCTTGAGCTGAAACGAAAGACTTGCGAAAATGAGTACCATGAAGTTTTGCTGTGAATGGTTAGTTTCTTGAAATAATTTCAAATTCTTTAGGTAGAGTGTGTGTTCACTTGACTTTGTTGAACAGCAACAACATTCTGTACCCAAAGGAAGACAAAGACCAGAAGATCCTCCTCTATGCATGTCGTAATTGCGATCACCAGGTACTGTGTGTTCTGCGGTCGTACATTACCTCTGTATATCTCGTTCTGTGAGTTAATGATGATTTATTTTAGGGTTTAGGTTCACATTTAATCATTAAGGGCACAGCTTTTATCTACGGCCGCGGTTTCTCTCATAAGTGAAAAGCGTTTTTCTTATTTCTTGACCTTTATTGATGACAATAACCTTGCTTAAAATATTGGTACAACAGAAAAATGTAACAGCACTAGGTCAATAGCAATAGACTAGTTAGTTGAAACTTATTTTGTGTGTGTAATTGTTAATAATAGCAAGAATCTAAAGCATACTAATATAATCCTTTTGTTCTTTTTACCAAACAGTAAACAACTGATTTTACCGAACCTCTACACAAGCAGCTAATACAATCAGCCGACTTACCGGACTAACATAATACATTATCTGCTGAGTGCTGCTAATCTGTCATTCTCCCACATTTTTTATCCAAAGAATAAATTTCACTTTTGGTCCTATGAGAATTATAAAAATCCAACAATAGGTCCATGATTTTGACTGTAACCACTTTTGATACATGGCAATTCTTCCACGCTCACCTTGGTCCTTCCTGTTAAATTTCCGGTGCTTATAGTCACTCGTGGTGCGGTACTTCCTTCTAAATTTCCGATGCTGATGTGCAAGAAATAGTAGTTGTAATAAATATTGGTAAAGTCAAATACATAAACCTAATATGGAATTGATGTAATAGTTGTGTAGGGTCAAAAGTGGAATTAATTATTTTCCATAGAACTCCTTTGAGCAATTGTTGGTTGATACCCGGGAGATTGGGTACTTCAAAGTTGGAAGCCACTCTTTTGTCTTGCCTCTTACTACTGTCATATTTATGTTGATGCACTTTCCAATGATACATAAACAGTGTAAATCTAGGCCATCATAAATAAATAAAATATCTACAGAATCTATCCAAATAGAAACAGAGAATAAGTAACAAAAGATTTGTCATATACTCCCTTCGTCCCTTAAAACTTTGCCAACTTTCCTATTTTGGTTGTCCCATTAACTTTGCCACTTTCCCTTTTAAGTAAAGAATTTGTGGTTCAAGTTAATTCTTTCTCATATTCCGAAACCTCAACCACACAATTTTTATTTTTTTTATTCCCCGTACCGGTCAAACTTGGCCAAGTTTTAACTTTTAAGGGACGGAGGGAGTATCATTTATCACGTGGTCGAGAAGCAATAATATGTCTTTGCAAAAAAATTCATACTTTAAAATAACAAGGCATGGTTTTGGATATTTATCTTTATCGTCCCTACATTCTATATTTTACATGAATAGGCGAAGGGAATTGTTCGGTATAGTGGTTTACTATCAAAGCATCAATTCTTTTGAATTGATGTATGCTTAGTCTTAGACCTTATATCCAACAGGTATGCTTTGTAATTGTGCTACATCACAACCTTTATTATCACTACTATAATTTTTTTCTATTTAGACACTCGGAAATGGAACTGTTTTCCAAGAGGGGAGGTGAATATTTTTGAATAAATGTGTAGAAAAACTATGCAAGAATAAAACAGAGTATTATGAAAGATATGAACAAATAATCACATGTCCTTATGGTTGAGATTTTTTTGAAGGGTACTTGAAAGTCTGAAACAAGTCATCATATTCTCTACAGTGCTGAATAATTATGTTCATCCCGTGACTTTCTGTATAACTTGAAAACTAGGCATTGCCACCTTAGGTAGAAGAATGCATAAACCATCACAAATCACAAGTTTTATCGTCAACATTATTTTGAGTAGTAAATACACATGCAATGATGCAATTATGATTTTTCTTTTCTAGTATGGATTCCAGTAGTGAATGCATACATTGTTGCTTGAAAAGTCTCTGGTAAACAATGTTCAAAATTGCGCAATAGTATCCCTTCCTTGAGGCACCCCTTGCTGATCTTCGGCCAAAATGCGATGAAAGGCGTATCCTAATTGACGCCTTAGAAAGGCATACACCTTTTGGGGAGAGACGTACGTTCTAATGCCGCACAAAAGGGAGAGGCGAAATCGTACGCAATAGAAGGGCATCAATTAAATGAAATAGCCAATAATTATTTCAATAATGGAAAAAATCTGCTCCTATCATCTCCTGTTTTATCTCTCACATCTCGCCTCTCGCCTCTTGCCTCTCGCCTCTTGCCTCTCGCTTCTGGTATTTATCTCTCTGTCTCGCCAAACACTCCGCCACACTTGTCGATCATCTCGCCATTGACTCCCGCAATGTAGCTTTGTCGCGAGTCGCAACCCCCCAAGTTATCCAAGGTCTCACTTGTAGGTTTATAATGACTTTGTATTTATTCAACTTCTTTAATTATGTGGAAATCATTAAGTCTTATGTTTAATAAATGTTTTCATTTACATGTCGTGCTTTTGTTGGTAATTTTTTGGCATGTCGTAAGTTTATATTGCTTGTATATCGTAAGTTTCTTTAAATTGCAGGTAATTTCAATTGTGTAATTTTAAATTTAATTATATTAAAAAAATATATAATTACATTAGAAACATTAAAGTATATGTTGGTAATCATAATTTGCATTTATAACTCACTTTATCATTCATGAATCTAATAAATTAAGAATGTTACCTTAAATAATTTGTATGATGTCATGTTTGAACTCACAAATTACATTACTTTATGACATTATTGCTTGTTTGTTTATGAAATTTGTAGTTTTGGATTAATATTTACTTTTTATTATTTCAAAAATTTATATGCTCAAATTCCCTAAAATTAAGATTTGCACCTCATCCTTATGCCTCAATGAGCCATGAGGCTTTCGCAATACCCCAAAACTGCCTATTAAACGCAATACCCAATTTCGAACATTGTCTGTTAGCCCACTTTTGGCATTTTAAATCCATTAAATATCCGGCTATACAGTGGAATGTGTACTACCAATTGATTGAACTTCCACTGGATGGTTTTGCATCAACAATTAGCCATTAGGATCGCTTGATTATATCGAGTGCCTTTGTCTCTCCTTCAATGCTCTTTTTCATCAAAGACATCTAAAACATGGAGGTGATCCATTTTACTTCTGATTATTTGATTTCATATATGTGTTTGTTTGTATAAATCTGGATTTTGAGCTTACTGACCTTTTCCTAGCTCTAGTTCATCAATAATACTCCAATTTAATATTTGACAGGAGGTTGCTGAAACCAATTGTGTATACAGAAACGAAGTATTTCACTCTGTTGGTGAGAAAACACAAATCTTACATGATGTAACTGCAGATCCAACACTCCCTCGTACTAAAGCTGTGAAATGTCCCCAGTGTCAACATGGAGAAGCTGTCTTCTTTCAGGTCTTTATTCATATCTGTATTCCCGGCTTAGTCATGCAGTGGTTCACCGTTCACACTTTTATGCTGTTCTTGACCATCACATATACTCCCTCTCCCATAAAATTCTTCCCCAATTTGACTTGGATCAGGGTTTCAGAATAAAGTTGAAATGTATGGTTGTGGTTGAATAAAAAAAGGAAAATGAATGTTAGCCACACAAAACTTTCCAAAAAGGGAAATTGGAAGAACTTCTTGGGACATCCCAAAAAGGTAAGTGGGAAAATTTTTATGGGACACAGGGAGTGTAATTTATTAGACCCGTGTGCTCCGCCCTTGTTCTTCTTGGGGTTAGGTTATTCTTAGTTGTTCTGCCTTAACTGCTGTTTTCTAGTCTTCCTGTGTGTTTTTAATCCAAACCCTACCAAGCATACCCAGTATGTCCCATTTGGAGGTAAGAGTCTCTTGAAGGTTAGAATGTATGCAAACTTTACCTATGTGCATTGCCTCTATCCTTGGTGTTTTAATCTACTGCCTCACTGTGGCAACAAGGGATATTATTACTGCTTTTCTGCATACATCTTGATCCTTTTTTTGTCATATCATATGTTATTAACTGAAAAAAGAGAGCAGCGCACCAAGTTACAATTTTTAATTCTATTAGGTTACAACTTACAACTCATGAAAATCCTTAGTCATAATTATATCTTAAATTTATTTGTTTGTTCATAACTTAATACCTAAGATCCACGGAAACGTCAAACTACCAGAGTTTCCCGTTTCGGAAACGTTGGTGCGTTTCCAAATGGAAGAAATGTGAAAAGCACGCGTCGGGCCCGTTTCTGTAATTTAGGAAAGTTCGAAATGTGTTTCTGCTGCGTTTCGGAAACTACCGAGGTTAAGAAATTTCTAAGTTCAAGCTTCAACTGCATTCCTGCCATCCTGTTCATCGGGTTCAAGCTTCAGCATCAGTTCACACTTGGAGTAGTTGGTTCTGTAGATATATAGATGTAAACATTAAGATTTCTAATTATTTGAATTTAGATAACCACATATGTTTATTTTCTATTATTTTTATCAACTTACTAGTTTTGAGGTTTCATATATAAGTCGTGTTTTGTGTACACATGGGCATGTGCATGTCAATTTTACACGCTACACGGACAATTCCGCACACTTTTTATAAATTCTATTTTTTTTTATGAATTGCCAATATACACAAGCAACTAAGGAACATATACAAAAATATGTAATCGGTATGTAAAATAAGATTTTTTTTCTTAACATATTTCTCACCATCCCAGCACCCCCCCTAAGATAAAGCTCTGGTTCCGCCACTGCTCTAGCCTCCAACATCACAGACTCGGCAACAAGCAGACGCAGCCTGAGTCTCACAGGGAAGGCTAAGAAGTTCGTCGTGCGTACACTCTCATCGCAACACAAAGTTTTGGGCTACACAGAATTTTGGCTTTGGCGACTCCCTTGTTCGGCAGAGAGCAAGTATGGATGTAACCTAGAAAGCACAGAAACATGAGCTATATTTTTTTTTATTAGTAAAATTTTAATTTATAATTAGACGTTTCCGTGCCTTATCCGTATCTTGATATTTTGAGATTAAAGTTACCCCCCTCCCCGTTTCCGTCCCTGCTTCTATTTCTATTTCTGTCCCGGTGCGACTTAGTTCATCACACTCATTCCTTTCTCTGCCACCCTGTCTCCTTTTTGTTCTTTCATCCCCCACACCATCTCCTTCCTTCTCATCTCTTTTTCTTTCTTTAATTTGGAGTTTCAGCCAACAATCCCGAACGGCTTTTCTTGGTCCAGCAACCCCGTCAAAAAACTGGTTAACACAGTATAAAAGTGTGATTTCGGGACGAGCCATCGCCTTTGACGGATTGAGGTAGTGTCATAGTGAGAAGTAGTTCAATAAGCAAATTAAACACGATTATAGTAGTTAGATATAAAAAAAAGTCAAACATAACTCTTCAGTGAGATTCCAGTTATAGCGTTTAAAGCCTGGTTGTTGATGGCGCAATATGCCGCGTGCGCCATGCGCCATGAGGCGCGCTTAGGCCCTCTGTGCCATGAAATAGGCTGTGGCGTTGAGGATACATGAGGCGACCCCATTCTTGCGCCTTCGCCATTTGGGTGCCATCGCCATGGCGTTGGGCGAAGAAATCCTTGCCTTATTCGCAAGTAGAAGCGCATTGGCAGGCCCAGAACAAGATAAAATAGATTTAGGCCTTGATTTTTTTAAGAAGCTAATTTAATTAAGACTTCAGGCTTAAAATTAAAAGCCCAGACTAATCTACCTTACGGACGATTCGTTGGCCAACATCGTATACCCAAGTCGCACGCAGGAAGGAATCAAACGAATAAGACAAACTCACAGAGTCACCCTCCCTCAGTCCCTCAGTCCCTCACGGAAGCAGCAGAGAAGTCGTTGACTCCCCAGTTCTCAGGTCCTCAATCTTTGGCTTCTGTTTTTTATTTTTTTTAATTTTAATTAATTAAGCTGTATTTATAGTTTTGTACTTTTGTTGTTTTAACCTTGTTTTTTTGCTGTTTTAACTGTGATACTTCTATTTTAAAATAACCTTCTATGATATACTTCATTTTTTGTTTTGATAAGTTATTTAATTTTAATTATATTAATAGACCTTGTTTTCAATTATTAATTGTAAGTTTCTTTTTCAATTTTTTTTAGTAATTGTGAGTTTCAATTCTAAGTTATATACAACATATATATATATATATATATATATATATATTAAAAGAATGAAGATGGTGTTCCATTGCTATCAGACCAAGATGATGCGGACTGAGGAGTGTGACAATTGATGATGATTATGGAATAATCAACAAACACAAACAAGCTAATATATTTTGAAAGACATGGAACTTTTTTTGAATATTATGTTTTTTTGGAACTACTTTAAACTATTTGAACGTCACATGTTTTGGTTAAAATGCTGTTATTCAACTTGCTTTTATCATATTTTGGTGGTTGGAATACAATTATAGTGTTTATAATTCATTTTTTTAGTTTTTTTGTCATGTGGCGACGCCATATTTGCGCCACGACGCCACAGCCATGTAAAAATGCCTGTGCGCCATGGATGTCGCCATGCGCCATGACAACTATAGTTTAACGAAATTAAGAAATCAGGGAGACATATTCAAAATTTGTTAAACTGGCATTGCTGCAGAGGGGGTTGTTAGTTTGTTACATAGAAGAAGGAAAATGTAAGAAAAGAGAGATTATAAAGAAAAAGGAGGATGCAGACATGCAGTTTCATTGTCATGTTACTGAGACAGAGGCTTTTCTTTGCTCCTTGTAAACGAGGGCAAAATAGGAAGAAAAAAGATTTTATTAAAATTTCTTAAAATGTTTGCCCATTGTAATGTTACATTTATTACAAAATGTGTGCCCATTGTAACAAGATTTTTCTTTCATATGTGATTCTTTTTGGGGAGGGATATCTACTTGTGAAATTGGAAAAGTAGAAGCAGAAAGAGGGTGGGTGCTACCCTGAGATCTTGTTTATCACTTATATTATTGTTTTATTATTATATGTTGTAGGCTGGTTCAAGGGGAGAAGAAGGAATGGCTCTGTTCTTTGTTTGCTGCAACCCAAGCTGTGGCCACAAGTGGAGGGATTAATAAAACTAAAGTGTTTGCCAACTTGTGGGTAGGACTGGGGATGGGGGAGGGGTAATGCTTCCTGCATGCGGTTTTGCCTTTTCATATGTATCACCCATTCATATGGTAGTGAAAAGTTCAGTTACTTTTCAATACCCAATAAATGGGTGTCACATGAATGTCTACAAAAAATATCGATATCATGTATCCCTATCATTAGTCGAGACTTAAATGGGTTGCACATGCATACAATAAAATGTACCTTTACTACATCTAGACTCTAGTGTTGAGGCCATCTTATGAGATATAGATCTTGAAAACTTTATTTCTCCTGATTGTATTCTTAGGCGGCGCGTCAAAATTACTCTTGTTTTCTTGCTTTTCTAATTTGTGTACCTTATTTTCAGGTTGCTCTAAGAAGTAGAGTGCGTACATGGTAATCTGTTTTGTACGGTGTAAACTGTATAGCCAGTGACATTTTTATAGGTTTAGTTGAAAATTGCTACTTTTGCTAATTGAATATCGATGTACTTGTATTGAGTATTAGACCTATTTCGTTGTGTATTAAAAGTTTAATATTGAGCATCACGATTTCTGTTTCTTATTTTGTAATTCACTTTCTTTTTTCATGAATTATATATGAAGTACTTCCTTTGAAACATTCATATCTTATCCTTTTCTTTTTTCGTTTGTAATATTCATATCTTTTCATTTCTAAATTTATCATCATACCCTTAATAATTTTGAAAATAATATATTATTACAATTACTTTTTTTTATTTGTCCTTCATTTGAGAACATATTTCATTGTCTTCCCATAATGCATTCAATGACTTATATTTTATTTCATTATTCTTAATCTCACCCACTTTTAAATGGGAAGATATAAATGTTACAGAGATAATATTGTGTTTTTAAAATATGCATTGATTAAAATTAGAAATTCTAATAGTTGGAGATTAAAACAATCTTATTGAGCATTGAGTCTCCTCTATTGAGTATTGAAACTTTAAAATTGAATATAAAAATTCAAAACCTATTGAGTAGCGGGTAGACTCGGCCTGGTGTCGGCTCTAGGTTGAAATTGCTCGGTCTTTGCAAAATTTTGATGAGGCTTGGGCTTGACCAGCTATTTTTTGGGTCTAGGTTGGTTTTGGGTACTCCGGCAGTCTGGTTCAAGTCTCGGATCTGGACCCGTTAATTTTTTTTTGCTGAGTTTGAAGTTATAAAAAATGGACGGTCTTGATTCGGGATTGAGAAACGGACCCGGTCCGGTCCCTAACAATATCGGACTCGGTTTTCCAGATCGTGTTGAACTGCCAGACCGTGTTCACCCCTAATATTGAGTATCAAACATCTTCATTGAGTATCGTGGTTTCTACTAAACATTGAGACTATGTCGTCAAACATCTACATTGAACATTTGAACTCTATATTGACCATAACATCTACATCGAGTATCACGTTTCTTTACTATTGATCATTGAGATCATGTGATCAAGCTCTAATCAAGAGTCAGGACACCGCGAAATCCAATTTAACATGTGGTAGTTGCATGGGTTTCTTCGGTTAGGAGGAGTCGGTGAGTCGCGAGTAGACGTCTTTAGTGCGGGACGATTGTCTAGTTGTTTGGGTGCGAGCCATGAGCCTCGAACGAATCAAGTGTCATTCATGAAACGAAAAAGAAATAACTAGGTTGTACCGAGAGAAAATTTGCTCTATGTCAGATTGTATCAATGGAGGAAGCTTGCTCTTCGCAGTGATGTTTATGGTAATGGTCAGAGGTTGAAGAGATCGGGCGTGTGGCAAACACTGGAATTAGAGAAGGGAAGGGGTGAAGGTTTTCATTTAGTCTCAAAGTTAAGAATAATTTCGAAAATATCTGGTTGAACCATTCTCAAGATATAGCCGATTGTATAATATAGTTTACCTAGAAAGTGGCGTGTTCCATACACATTCTTATCAAGTCTTAATTTTATTAAAACTCAAGCATCTGATGTTGTCCAATTATCACAAACTTGGGAAACACAACCCTTCTAAGCTCTCACCAAAGTCCTTTGCTCACCAAAATTGTGTTATTGAAGACAATTCTTCTAACATGTCTACATTTTATGGGTGGACCGGTCACCGGTCCTTATTTGGGACCGGCTCGCGGATTGCAGTCTTAAGACCGGTTGCAAGATTGGTTTTCCGGTGTCGAGGTAGATCACATTCTGCGCCATCAATCTATATTTCCCGTCCCGTGTGCTCAAAATGTGGACAGGTCTTGGCTCTTTTGACTGTTGGGGTTGGGGGCATGGGTGGGTTGTAGGCTTGGACCCGGTTCGGGCCACCTGGCCCGGTACTGTGCGGGCCCGGCCCGGCTTGGGAACCGAATACCGGTTCCGGGTCTAGGCGCGGTTTAGGGGGGGTAACCGGGGCGGGTGCGGGTCAGGGGAATATGGAACCGGCCCGGCCGAGTCCGGGCCCGATTCGGGATTTATTCTTTTTTTTTTAATTTTTTTTAATTTCCCGGGTTGGGCAGGGTATTTTGGGCCATTTGGGCTGGTTTGGGGGAGGGGGGTCGGGGGTTAATTAGACAAAGCAAAAAAATATATATATAAATTGGCCTGAGGCCCGGCCCAAACCGGACCCGCTGGCAACCCAGGCGGTTCCGGGCCTTCCCCCAACCACAAAAGGCCCGACCGGGCCTAGACCCGGCCCAGGCCTGACCCATCCCAGCTCCATGCCTAGTGGGTTGGGGAAAAATTATAAATACATTTCATTATCATTTTTCACACGCTACAACTATCTCAATATCTCGTCTTTGTCTATAAGTTCTATTCTACACCAATATTTTCTTATCTTCATCCTCATATTCATATCTCCAATTTTCTCATCTTTGTCTTGGAAGCAATGTTAATTCACTATGTTATCTACTCCCTCCGTCCCAATTTGTATGATACTTTACGGTTTACGATGTTTGACCGACGATAAAGCAAATTGATCCCTGTCAACATTCAAATTAGTTTTAGAAAATAAAATTTACATATTCAGAAACTACATTAAAACCGCTACAAAGCCTGCAAAAAATAATTCAAATTTCATAAACTTTTGATATATAAAGTAAAAGATCAAGAGTGATTTATGTTGACCAAGTGAATAGTAAATGTATCTTACAATTTGGGACTGAGGGTGTATAAGAATGTCAAACGACATGCTCTATGCACAATGTCTTGATTGTCGAAAGATTTGTATTTGGGAAAACATGAAAGCGTGAGTTATGGTACACAACGAAGGAATAAAGCACTCAAGCACACCAATAATGAAAAAGTGTTGTATTCGTATGTTAATTATTCAAGTGTTATGCATTGTTTTCATATTAAACAATTGAATAAAGCTTTATGCCTCCCATTGTAGTATTGTATTAGAAACTCAAATGATATAAACGTGGAATACTTTTTATTATTGAAACTCAATGGGGGGGGGGGGGGGGGGGGGGGGCGGGGCGGGGGGCAGTAATATAGCGGATCGGTCTGGGTCTCTAAATTATATCCTAGGGACTGGAATCAGACCGGTTTGGATCCACCATTAATTCATCTTATTGTATCTGTCATCCGCCAATCGTCATTCGCATTTATTTTACTTTTATCGAATTCAGCACTACGCCTCTTTGCTGTATTGAATTCAATTTTTCATGGAAGATGAGTGCTGTACTTCAGAAAATTAGAAAATTGAAATTACGTTTAATTAATTCATTATGATTATGAGTTCACATTATGACCGTACTTGCCAACGCACATCTTTGACCGTAATTATATCTTAATCCTTATTAGTAAAAAATATTTAAAAATTAGATTTTGAAAATTTGTAATGAGATGAATTGAACAATATAATTTTAAAAAAATAATTTTTCATAAAATAATAATATAAAATGTAGTCAAGTAGAACATGTGAATAGTGTAAAATTCAACATGTTGCGATTAAAAAGAGACGGAGGATAGTATGAACTAATCTATGTATTTGAGCGTCTTGTCCTAAAATCATATTCTCAAATTCCTCATTACGTGTTGTCCTGAAATTTTTAGTCTGATCAAGGTTGACAAATGTCCAATGTGTGATTCTAAGTCGGATTAATCTTATTAAATTTACCATGTTCTAATATGATATGTTTAAATTTAATTTGATCTAATTTAGGACAGAAATCAATCCAAACAAAAACATTCTTACTAATATAATGGTAGTTATTAAATCTTTAAAGCATCATAAAATTTTGTTATTAAATGATTTTTAAAAACTAATTCGTGTTCCATTAGTTATCGTTTTCCTCTAATTTAATTGTATTATTAATGCCGTTTCTCATTATAAACTTACTTATGGATAGAGAAAAACGATACTTTTAAAATCATATTAAGACATAAATGATTTATACCATATTTTCTTATATATTAATACCAATGACTTTTTCGAAAGCTTATTAATACCAATAATAGTCCCCACTATTGTTTTATTTATTTGAAGTATTTAGATTAGTATTTATTTAAAGGGGAAAATGTACTTTTAATCTCTCAAATAGTACATAAATTGAAATGTAGTTTCTGTTTTTGAGTTTGTCAATGTCACAACTCAATTTTTCGAATTATTGTAAATATGGTCATCACCGTTAAATCGGAACTAGCACCATTAAGTATAATAATATTTGTATACGATTAAAGTTATAACTTCAGATATAGTAAAAAAGAAGATTGTTTTAAAAATTCCTAGCACTAATAATTTTTGCACCACTGGTAAAAATGTTGATCGAAAAAATCTAATTTTATTGGCAAAAAATGTATGACACAAATATTTCTGATATGGCTAGAAAATTGTACTGTTTTTATACACATTGTCAGAATTCTTTCCACGGGCAGCTTTTCAATAAAAATAGACCACAAACAAAGAGTGTCGGTATAAACTTTGTATTCGATCTCTCTCCGTCCATTTAAACTTTGTCATTTTTGATATTTTTGGTCAATCATGTCTAACTTTGACCAATTATATACTCAGAAATTATTTTTAGTACAAAAATTTTACGGAGTATCGAAATGTTTTTTTGTTAAAAGTATTTCCATAAAACTATAAAATTTACCACTATCATTATATTATCCTAATCAAAATCATGGTTTAAACTTTACCACCATTAATTTTGAAAAGTCAAAGATTACAAAGGTAGTACTATTTATAGGCATTTTCTAGTATTCGCTTCAAAGAATAAACTACTAAAAAATAGACAATTCTTTTCTAAAACGAAAAAAAAAATGTTTTAGGGGAAAGTATTTAAAAAGGGAATTATGTCATAAATATTAAGTCAAAGATCATCATATTCTTTTGTCTTGTTCCCAGCATATGATTCACCATCTCGGAATCTCAGCATAGGTATCTTACCAGACCTGTCAATCTGGGATAAAGATCATGAAAGAAATACATAAGCTTATCATACCTCTAGGATATAGAAAGCAAACATAACTTGCAACGTCAGTACATTTTTGAGATAATTACCCCTCATATGACTAAAAGATGACATCTTTCTCCATCTATGACTCATATATGTTTTTTTTCCCTAATATGAGCTTCTTTCATGCATCCATATGTTCGGACATATCATGTCTATATGTGGTTCCAGATTTACCCTTAAAAAACAAAAAAGGT